ACCTAAAGACAGTCACATGGAGAGAAAACATTTTCTCAGGCTTTCACAGAGAGCAAATTGGTCAAGCAATGGCTGTGACTCATCCACATGGCTGACACTGACAAAGGATCTACAAAATGCGGTACAGGGTTTCGGGATAAGTCCTGAGGGGGCTTAACTGATCATGTCAGATGCAAAAGTTAAATTCTTTGTTATATAGGGCTTGCTTTATCTTGGTCTTAACCATCCAGCAGAAAAGTGTAGAAACGAGGTATGAAAAGTGAAGCCATGTTAATACGCTGAGCTGTGGAAGGCTCAAGTCATCAGATTCGGACATTGCCAGTCCTGTGGATAACCCACTACTATTGTGGAGTCCTGGACTATATTGGAATATCTTGCTGAATTCATGCACCTTTAATATTTGGATGGCAATGGAATACCCATCTCTGACAAAACTGAACAAAAAAAGGTGATATAAATGAAGGACAATTTTCTATCTATATATACAAAATAGTTAGGATAGATATATAGCTACTTTCTCTTAATTCAATAAGAAGGAAGATCTGTTATAATAGTATTTGGACAGGATATCATGTCTGCATCTTGTGCTATGAATGACTACTACAAAGACAACAATATGCAATGTATTAATTGTTGTAACTCTCCTACCAACCCGTTTTGAAGCTGTCACATTACAATTTTTTCTCAATAAAATTAATTTAAAAAAAAAAGATTTGGAGTTTTCGAGAAACCATGGCTATGATTTCAACATAACCCTGAAAGTATCTGTGTTGGAAAGTTGGTCCCCAAGGTCTTGTGTCATTGTCACTCGAAAGTGAGGACCTGGGAGTGGAGGTCATGAGGGTGGGGCCAGTGGAGGTGTGACAGAGGCTGTCCCGGAGAAGAGAAGGAGAGACCTGAGCTAGTGCACTTGCTCTGCCTCGTTGGGTTGCCTTCACATGTTAAGATGCATCTGGAAAACTTCACAGATTCTGGCACCACGATTTTGGGTTTCTCAGACTTCAGACTCATGAGCCAAATAAACTTCTGTCCCTTCTCTGTCGCCTAGTCTC